CTGCACAGTTTCTGAAATACGCTATGTGTAAATTAACAGAACCAAATTCAATAGAACTTCTCAGACAGATCATCAGATAGAGAGGTCAACCAAGCATTTCAGATTTTTGTGCGCGATTTTATTGGATTATGCTGTCGGGGAAGCGGTATCTGTCTTTCCATACCTGAGTTATAAAGTACCATTCTGATTTGGACTTTAGGCCTCGGATATAAAAGCTTATGGTGATCTAACAGCAAATCTATACCGTAAACAGGCAAGCCGGTGGCAGTGAAGTGAACAGTTACCGATTGTTAATATCACATCCGTCCCATTCTTTTGTCAGATCGTTATTTCTTTGGACAGATTGATTCGAGATACAAACCGTGTTAGTACAATGCTAGATTAGAAGCGCGGGAAAGTTCCGTCTCGTTTAATTGAATGCCGAATTGATTTCCAATCGATCCCGTTCAAATTGATTCCGAGGAATCTAACTAGCGTTTGTAATACTGTTACACGCCACACTAAACCTTTATGCAATTGCTTTTGCATATCAAATATATTGAGATATCCTGGATTTGAGTGGCCCATTAAATAATTTGCGCAATGCTGTATTCGTTTCACCTATGAAGTAAGACCAAAGCCCTAACAAGAAACTTACGGCCTTTTTATTGATTACATTTAAAAATTATCCTTACTTAAGAATTTTAAGTTTCGCGGCTTTTTGGAACAAAATGCAGCTACATGTAGCTGCATTTTTTTGTCATGATTAACGAAAATTTTATTTTAATATTTTAAGTGCTTTCATTGTGTCAGTTTGATCCACTTATCTGTATTAGTAAAATAGGAAAATGTATAACTACTAGTGGTAGTGGTTATTACTTCAATATTGTGTATTAAACTTTAGAATAAAGTTTTGATATGAGTATCGGTAAATTTTACTTCAAATACGTAATTTCAGATATTTCAAATAATAATAATAATTTACGGCATACATAAATATTTCAATTTATTTCGATTAGCATCGAAACAATGATAAAATTATATAATCCGTGTCAAACCGCCAATAGTCATGAAAACTGTAGGATAGAAAATGTTTCATCTGGCAATAATCTATTGAAGACGTATGCGATCACTTTTACTGTTATCCAATTTGGAACGCGGCAAAGTCGGTTTCCGCTTTTACACGGTCTGTGGCTTAGTTCTGAGACACATTGTTATTAGCCAACAGCGTGTCATTGGGATGCCACAACTGGAGGACGTGAGACAGTATAACACGCATACCTTATTTCAGATCCTTAATAATTCAACGTGCGGAATTCAACATACATTTTGTTTGATTGTTTTTGTTAAAAACAATGTTTTACCTTATGGAAAAATTCATAAAAGTTCCGACCTTCCGGGTTGAGATGAGGGCAATTACCCGGCTTATTAAAGTTTATCGCTCCGGACACCTGAGAGCATTATTTTTCAAGTATTTTCGATAAGAAAATAAAATTATTTTTCACATATAATAATAATGTTTAGTAAGTTTATTTACAATCAAAAATAAGTACTGTAACGTCCGAGCACATTACTATAGGTAGGGTTTACTCTTCAGACAGTTTATGGTCAAGTGCTGGCCGTTAATATTTTAAATTATTACTTTTTCATATTCGAATTCGCGTGTTCGTGTTTTGCTGGTGAATAGTCTTTCTTTTCTGATCGAGACCAGCTTAGGGTGAGCATCGTAGTATAATTATTGTAAGTGCTTAAATGTAATTCTTATCAGTAATAAATCAAGACTAAGGAGTGCTACCAGTTTTTTCATTGCGCCACCCACCTCCACCATAAGACTAAGTTGCCATAAGTCGCCACATGGTGGAGGCGCAACGTTTCGAAATATAACGATACCTCTCGCAAGCCAAGCGGAGAAAACATATAAACGAAAAAACAAAAATGGAGAAATACGACGGATTAAAAGGTGATGTGGCCGATTTTTTTTCTCAATTTAATATTATAGCAGCAGCAAATGGATATCAAGAACCGACTAAAAAAATAGTGTTGGCGGCATATTTAGCAGGACCTGCACTGTTATTTTATAATAAAATAAAAGACAATTGTGAGAATTTTCAGGAACTCGAGAAACAAATTAGCGAAGAGTTCTCTTCAACTGCAAATCCTCTCGCAAAATTTTTTGCTAGAAGACAGGGTGCAACGGAGGACCCACTCAATTATTTTTATTCGTTAGATTATTTAGGATGTAAAGCAGGGGCGGCATTTGATGATAAATGCTTCATCCAGCATTTTCTTGGGGCAGCAAATTTCCAAACCAAGAGGCGTTTAGGATCGCAGTTGTATTCGAATAAACAACAGTTGAAGGAGGTGATCAAACAATTAAATGAAATTTATAATAGTGGGGATGGAGAAGCGGATATCAATTTACCTGTAAAATTAACGAATATTGTAGATGTTCTTCCTTCCTCTAGCACACAAGGCGGACAAGGAGATCAGCGACCTTCAACGTCGATTCGACCCACTAGAACATTTAATTCTCCATCTTTCACCCCTCATAAAATCCCACCTCCCGACCAGATGATGCCCCGCCCTTATAATTTCAGACCAAGAGGTAATACAAAGCCGCAGCCAATGATGACTAAGAAGAATAATGAATGCCATACAAAAGCAGCAGAGGCGATAGAAGTGATAGCAGAGGACAAGCAGTCGCCTCACCTGCTTGTTTTACTTTTACTCTTCAGACAGTTTATGGTCAAGTGCTGGCCGTTAATATTTTAAATTATTACTTTTTCATATTCGAATTCGCGTGTTCGTGTTTTGCTGGTGAATAGTCTTTCTTTTCTGATCGAGACCAGCTTAGGGTGAGCATCGTAGTATAATTATTGTAAGTGCTTAAATGTAATTCTTATCAGTAATAAATCAAGACTAAGGAGTGCTACCAGTTGCGCCACCCACCTCCACCATAAGACTAAGTTGCCATAAGTCGCCACAGTACTTACGAGTATCTTTCAAGTAAACATAGATAAAATACGTAACTTTATGCCAGTGACCCAGAAAGACCCGATCAAACGCATACCCAATTGTTCAGACATACAATCAACATAGCAGCCGATGATACCATATTAGAATTGAAGCACAAAACTAATAGACAAGTCTCTAACGTGACTCGTATATCACCTGCTATTTGGATCAGATAGCACTGTGTAATCAATTGAAAATTTAATTTTAGTGGAACATTAATGAAGACATGGAATTAAGAAGCTTTATTTTTTTTTTTTACTTTTACCAGACTGAAAACCTACTCCGAAAACTATAGTTATTATGGTCTTTCGCAACTTTCTTTTTATAAAAAAAACATTTAAAAACAAAGTCAAAACTGAAAATCTGTGATCTTCTTAATATTGTGTAGTATCGGTGGTTTGTAAGTATGTGTTAATATAATGTCTTTGAAAGGTCAGTTCGTACATATACTGAAATATCAAGCATTAGAAAACTTTTGCACATTTTTGTTTCTTACACCCAGTTGCACAAACTGTCAATAAAGTTTAATGGGGACTTTAAGCTTTAATTAATGTTCTATTTTTTTTTTATTTGTATCGTAAATGTCACTTCAAAAACATCAATATAGTCTAACACTCAGATGTGTTAGAGTATATTGAAATGGTAGAAATACAATAACCGTAACATGTAAGTTGGTCACGCAATGGTAAACTGTATTTTTGATGATGGAACATGCCCCACAGACGTCAAGAGATCTCAGATTTTCATGCCCCCTATCCTTCAGTGGAATTAGTGAATCTTCACGTCAATCCGATAGTATCAGTGACATTCAGGTCAGGAGCATCGTGATTGTAGATAAGAACGACACGTTGATTTTTATTTGTTTCGTGATCACTCAGAGAATGACGAATCATGACTTGATGCGATCGATATCTGCTGACCGATATAATTGCTATAATGTGGGCTAAATATGTTAAGAGACACGCGGAATTCTTTGTTAGAAATTACTATTGAACGGCCAACTGGTCACGTTGGCCGTTGCACGCTGCACGTCGTTTTCAAAGTGTCACCTCAGAAGTCAACGGTTCGATTCAATATAAATAATTAGCTTTGCTATATTGTCTCTGGTCTGGGTGTTCTGGTGCCTTCGTTGTTTCAGATTTTCATAATGCAAATGCTTTAGCTACTTGGGATTATGTCAAATGTAAACATTGCTTAAATGTTTACATTTTCTGAAATGCATTATTGTTTGTGTGCAATATGTATAAATAAATGGCCTACCCCGCAAAAACTTGTTTCCATAATATATCTATACCAATATTCCTTACACAGTTGCAAAAAAAGACACACAAGTAGTTAAATATTATGTACGCAACTGTTCATCTAGCACTGATTGCGAAACTAAACTACCAATGAAAATATGTAAGATGATGGTAATTACCCATACACCAAAGACTTTTATATATACTACCCTCATCTCGTTTATTGACACGTCCTACGCACCGCGAGGGTTGTACGTACGGATTATTAAACGTAACACTTATATTTATTAAGGATAAACATATATTGGAGTAAAGACAGTTTTCGGACAGATTTTCCTCACAAAAACAACCCTGCTTTGAAACTAAAACGAAACTGCCTACGAAATCGAAACTTTTTTGTCTACCACGACGACGCCATGCACACCGGCGGAATCAATAATGTTTCAGTATAACTTGAATAAATATACTGGATCGAAGTCCTTGTCTAGTCAAATTAAGCGAGTCCAAACTCGATGTGGCCTTACGTCACAAAGATCTCATGACCTTTCGACTCCATCCCATATGAAAATTGCATTGTCATATTTATAAATCATGCGAGATTTCAGCTTAATTGGAAACCGAGAAGTAAAGCAAATGTATCTTGCTAAAAAAACAATAAAAGCTTTTGAAAAGCTTAAAAAACATCTAATGCTCACCTCACGTAAACAAATCATTAAAATCGATTGAGGGAATGATCTGAATTATTTACAAATAAGTTTAACTCACCTAAATGACGCGGCCTGGCAATCTGGTTCTTCTCTACACCAACCCTGGCATTCATATAGAGAAAGGTTGCGAACAGTATAATACGCCGTACCAGTGAAGTCTACATCGGTGAGTTTTTCAAATGCGATTCGACCTGAAACAAATGTTCATAAAATGATATAGTTAAAGAAAAGGTACACGACACGTTGAAATTTGTTTCATATTTTAAACATCTTAATATATTATTTATATATAATCTAATACCGGTATTATACAATCTAAGCCACCTTTAAACGTGCAATTATTATATATAAGTATAATCTGAATCTCGGAAACGGCTTCAGCGATTTTCATGAAATTTTCATTCTCAAAAAATATTGAGCAAAACTCAGTCATCCATTCAAATTCATTAAGTATTACAATAGTTTTGTTAGACAGTTTAATACTATCGAGAAGTAAATTAGATGCTTCCTTAGAGAAATGCAGAATCTATCACGTGCCTCCGTTTTCAAACGATACATCAAAGCAAACTATCGTCCAGCCATCAGAGTATACGCCCTGAATAATATTGTAAATACCTATTACAGTATGCATTCCGCGTTGCCGTCCAATCACAAGAATAAAGCAGGATAGTCGCGATCCGTACATCATCTAAATGAGAATTCAATTCTACGCTAATACGAGTATATATTACAAATTTTACAATATTACAAGATTGCCTTAAATCATCAGTATGCTTGTAGTCAAACGCTGAAAATTAATAAACATTGTCAGAGAAACTGACGGAAGAGTATGAAAAATAAAAAAGAAAACATTGTATGTAACGAAAACAGACATGCATAATGATGGTTGATAGAGTGTAAGCAAAGGCGAACTATAGACTGACCTTGACATAGCGCGTTTGCCGATTGCAAAGAGCACATGTAAAAATATAAATACTAAACTGTCCTGTACGAGACGACACGTTATCTGGATGCTAGGCTACATAGGCCGATCACAATTTATTTTTTCTATCTCATTTAAATGCAGTAGGCGTCTGAGTATTCTCATTAGTGTCTCGTTCACTATATAAGTTGGAATATATTTTATTCCCACTAGAAATGTGTATCAACACATCACCACTACCTTATATTTTATATTATTTAGACGCATTGTAATAACTGTCCTATCAGAAATAATATAGGATTGTAATTAAAACGTATTATAGTTTTTTTTAGTATACGAGCAAATTAAACAATACTTAACTTTGACTTGATGTAGTAAAATAATTAAAATATGTACTCACTAAATACAAAAGAGGCTTGTAACAGTACTAAGGCGAGCCGCGCCAGCCGCAGCGTATCGCTCTTCATGCCGACGGCTCCACCAACTGTCAAACAAAATGCATAAGTTTTACTAAATGTCTTTTAAAAGATGCAAAGAAAATAACAGTTAGCTTCCATATAAATATCCATACATCTAAAATGAGGTTTTATTTCCTGAAAACAATCACGTCCTTGATTTTTTCTAATAAAATGGCTCAAAATATATTTATAGTCGATATCAAATCAGCTGTAACGGCCAGACGGATGGACAGACAAATTGACACCAGGGTAATCCAAGGGTTCAATTTCTTCATTTTAATATGTGGAATCCTAAAATAAACGGATCATTTAGAAGTATTTCATTTTATATCAAACAAATCATCAAAATCGGTAAACATTAGTAAAATATAAAATATAGAAAAACCACTAAATTGAGTACCTCCGTTTTTTGGAGTCTATTAATAAAATAACTAGTGTAGAAAGTTGTATAAAATCTAAGTACTAAGTACTGATGGTCTATAAACTCTCGCACTTACTATTGTCGATTGACAATGAGTAAAAACGAAAGCCGGTCAAAGCCAACAACAATAACGTTTATGTGCGATCCTATCTGCATTCAATATTATCATTATTTATTTTCACGACAGATCGAATTAGTAACAAAAGTGATCACTTCAAATGGGTATTGTTAAGCTGATTTGTACAAGTTAAGATTACTATCTGACTATAACTAATGACATGCATAATTTAATTTGATAATTTGGTTTTAATATATTTTATATATATATCAAAAAATGTTTTTTCTCTGCAGTTGAAAAAATCGTTACAGTACTTTGTCTGTAAAATTGATATATGTAGATAAATGACATGGAAAAAATAACATAACAATTCTTATAGTCAAGTCTAGATTAATTACCTAAATATTTAATGATTGTGTCCTTAGAAATACTGACCATTTGCATAACTAAACAATGAAACTTTTATACAATCAAGTGGAAAAGAAAATGTCAATACAAAGACAAAATGGACGTTTAAAATGAAAATTAAATTACAAATTATCATCACCATTGATTTGATTAGAAGAGATTGCACTTATTATATCGAACCTCGAGTACAATGACAAAATGCAAGAAATTGAGACACACACAATTAGGTATATCTTTAGTTCAGTTGAATGCGGGTCAAATAAGACGCGGATCGCAAAACGCGAGAGCTACTAGAAAAGTCAGTGACACGGATTTTCATTTACTTTTTTTTCCTTGAAATATCGCTTTCACTTGGCTCTTTTATCAAACTGAATTAACTTATAATCGTGAAAGTTCTACAATTGTCCGTTTACAATGCACCTTCGTGTTAATATATGCTCAACTATTCAAACGGCATTCGTAATTCGACAGTGTTGCTTCATTGAGCAACATCAATAAGTATTTAAATTACATTTCTCTGACGTGCCGGTTTGTATAGTAAGTAATCAAAGAACGAAAGTTGCAACGCCCTATAAAGTTATAGCAAAATTGCACATTATATTTAAACTTACCGCTGTGGTAATTCGGGTTGCTCTCTCAAATCGACGCCCATAACATAATTATGTCCGTTTCCGAAACATTCAATACTCATTTGATAAGCATGAAAACATTAAACAAACACAGCCAATTAACCGTGATATCGGTCTTAACGTATTTATTGTTAGTTCATGTAAATCAGAAACTGTAACACAAGTTCCCACAGTATAACAGCGGCATAAAGATACCGTTCTGTGAACACCAATCGCTTTTATGTATTAACTACAGTGAGTTTCAAAATCCACCGGAAAGAGAAACTTTACGGTAATCATTTTTTAACTCTAATGAACCACAAACCCAAACGTTGCGGCTACGACGATTTGAAACTATTATCCGGACACGACGACCTATATTCAAAATACACCCTGATGTCCATAAAGAGATTACTAGCGGATGTAATTATATGCTTCCGATTGAATTTGCAGTTTTTTTTTTATTAAAAAAAGTCTCATTATATTGCCAAAATAGCACCAACATCGACAGTAGGTATAATATATTTCAAATAACATCTCATCACATGAAATTTCAGATTATATTATTATTTACTTCCAAAAGTTAATACCTATTCTATTTTGTTTGTTATCTATATTCTATACGTATGTTATGAAGAGTAAAGTTTTCATTATTCGTTTGCATAGAATATACACCGAAACAACTGGAACGATTTTTAAAATTGTGACATATGCTACAATTTACATGGGCGAAGTAGCGGGAAAACAGCTAGTTTAATATAAATCAGATGCGAGGAAATAGGATAAACTAACGTTATAACAGAAAATGGACTTAGGACAAATAAAGCACTAAACATTAAGTAGTTTTAGTGGTAGCTAGTTAAGTATAGATGAATAATTTTCGATGCATTATCTCTTGTAGTAATAATTACTGTATTTATGCTTTAATTTACCTTTACTCCGATTGAAAAATCAAAGCACAAGTCTGTATAATGGGATTCCTCCTTAACTAGGTTCCGTAATAAAACTAATTTGTAAATATTATAAATGAGAAGAAATCCAGATTCAAACACGCGTACATTAATTGTGCTTTCACGTGCTGATTTTTTATTGTAGTTTTTATTGCACTCTATATTATGCTGCCCCTGTCTCTAACGTTAAAACAATATTGTCGAACAGCTACGAAAAACCAGTGAAACTGTATTAAGTAACTAATTCTATATCCAAGATATATGTATAGACGAGACTGTAACGTCCATGCATAATACTCGTACTATATAGATTTACTCTACGAACGATTTTAGGTCAACACTGGGCGCAAATTTTCGAATAATTAGTTTTTCGCGTTAAAATTTGCGTTGTCTTTTCTTGCTGGTTCTAAGATACGTAGACTCAGTATCTTAGGAGAAATTTCAAACTAATTAAATGAATAACTAATTATTAATATTAGGAATTAAACAAACCTCTGTATTTTTCAATAGTAATAAACTTGAAAGTCCGACTGATTGCATATTTCATTCTACAACTTCATCGATCCCAATCCCACAGTGCAATTTACATCATTTCTAGGAGTACTATATTTTTGACAATGGCATTTTTACCAAAATTAAACAAAATCTATTCCCGGCACACAATCTTAGACGGTAGCTGCAGTTGTATTTAATCAAATATTCGATTCAATCAGATACCAATTCTATGAAATCACTGTATGTCAAAATTTATTTATACAGTCTTGTGAATACCGAAATAATATATCATCGTTTTGCAAATCTACAGCGGGAGATCATATAATCAGAAGACTAGCAAGAAACTCAGTAATAACAGATTTTATCCTCCCTAGTTATTTTATTTCTTATAATTAATCAGAGAATCAATTTTCGCTTTGTTAGTAAGTTTTTTTATAGTTTATTTAAAATGATATAAAAAAGTAATTGTTATAAAATATATATTTATTGCTATAAGAGACCAAAAAACAAGAGTGGTAGAACCTCAATGTGATGGACAGATAACTTTATATACCTACACTCTCACTTTCAATGAAACTCCTCACTGTGTAAAATTCATTAGCAGGCTGCTTTTTTTCAACCAAAACAATTCTAGATTTCACTCTTAGTTCTTATTCGGATGGATACATTTAAAATAACATTATGAATTCACATATGCATCTTTTTCATATCTTTTACATAATGTACTAACTATGTTACGGAAATAAAGAAATATGATATCCAGTATCGTATTCTCTCGCTTACACATTGATAGACTTATTGTCTTACATAAAACACTTATCAAATTCAATAGAGGCATTTTAAAAGAGGACAGTTTTGTTAACATTTCACGCCCTGCACGGCTGGACATGTTAAGAGAACGGAAGGTTAGACAGTTACTTCACTCATTATACTCCATTATAGCACACTACCTTACCCGAGATATCCTACGAGCGGAACCTTTGCTCCAATTGTGGCCATTTTATAAGTCTTTTGTTTCGAACGTGAAAACGTTTCTTACATTTTATTGAAAGGTAACGGTGCTTGCGGTTTGAATAGGTAAAATGGTCTCGTTTGATTTTTGGTTCATATAAAAGATTCCACAAATACGTTCGATAAAGTGTTTACTAATGCGGCTATAGAAATAACGGAACGGTTACCTAATTCCAAATTATTACTGCTGTTAGTCGATCAATTGGAAATAAATATTTATCACTGTTGACAAATTCCAATTCGTGTTCTGAATATTCTATTGATATACGAAACGATGGTTCACTCCATGTTAGTTTCTTGAAGAGCTAAGACATTTATATTGATCACTCTACGTTATCAGAGTCGATCAGGATCATTAACTAATAAAATTTCAAATAGCTCTATCTAATAAGCTATTACGGTAAGTAGGTGGTTGATCTCAGACAACCTATCGAGGAAACCGTTAAGGGTATGAACATCAGCGGAACATAGGATGTTGCTAAGTAGCAATTAGTACGTGTGGCGATACGTATATCACGTAATGATTGTCATAGTAGTCTTAGTCACAGTTATATCACGGGGCGAAGAGCGTATTACAGCGGGACTGCGCTCACTCAGCGTGTGCGTACACAAATTGTCCAATTTAACGGTGATGGCGAATTCGTATGAGCCGGTGTGTTTGCGCTTTATAGCTTCACGCTCCTAACTGTTTACGTTCAACAATTTTCTTAAAAGCGCATGACATTTTGGTTTATAAGTTTGTCTTGTCGAACTCCTTTTTCACCTTTACTAAGTCATCAGTCAGTCATCTTCATCTTCATAATCAACCTATTTTCCCACCACTGGGATATAAACCTTCTCGAAGCAGAGAAATGGCTACTTATATAATGCACAGGACCAGTGGTGCAACTGCCTAACTCTCCAGCCATAATTCTAGCCATAGGATACGTTAACAACTTAGCAATGTTAAGTCGATAAATCATTTCATGTTACTACTTTGACGTGTCTTTTGTTGGTATTTTGGTGGATAAACGAGAACGTTAGTAACACTGGTGTCAGCCCTTAATAATCATTCTTTTAATTTTCGTTCGTTTGT